CCGGTCGCCGGCGCGCTGCCGGTTCCCTCTTTTTCTTTGGGGACCAGAAGCTGAACGGAGTCTGAGGAAGGCGTCTCCTGGGGTGGTCGAGTGCTCACCCTCGGGGTGCACAGAGCGTGCTGCCGCTGGGCTTGTTTCTAGACCCCGACTACCTAGAGTGGGGGCTGAGAGGGCTGGGAGCAGCGGCGTCACGGGGGCGGCGGAGTCAGCTGGTCCCTTCCCCAAACCGCTCTGGGCGTGGAAGATTAGAGGATCAAACAGGGGCGAGAACGTCCCCGAGGTTCAGAGCTTCCAAGCGCGCTTGTCGATGGCCGAAGCGGCGCGAGGGATGGTGTTCTGCCACCCGGGGAGACCTTCGCTAAATCCGGAGTCACCACCGTTGCTCTCCCTGCAAACTTGGAGCGGGATTACAGCTCTTGGATCTTAAAGGTGAGAACGACAGAGATCAAAAACGCACCACAGTCTCCTCGGTTGGAAAAGTCTTCCTTCTACCCACCGCTCCTGAAATACTCAGGTTGACTCCGGTTTTACTAGGAAAGGAGGCTGGCCTGTGGAGCGGCTTCCTAATGAGTTCCTTCCATTGTGGCGCATCCTGTTGCCCCACTGTGTTTATCTTTCCTTTCAGATACCCTGCCAAGCAGACCCCTTGCTTTATGGCTTTACTACATAAACTCAGTGGCGAGTGGAGCTGTGGTGAGGGAGGTGCTGAGGAACTTTATTCAGCAAGGATGAAATGAAAGATGTCTTGAGCTTGTGATACAAATGTGGGTGGACAGTGGTTGCAGCTTTTCAGATTTCTTCTCCTGAGGACTTGGTAACACGGTGTAACCAGCCCATTGATTCATTCTAAACAGGGCAGTGCCCAGAAATGAATACGTTTTAAAAATTTCAGACTCTCCATTCAAGAAGCTTTCGTCTTTGAACATAAAGGGGAAAGTTGTACATGCCTGGCAAAGGAAAAGACAAAAACTGGCACTTTTTTTTTTTTAACTTTAGAGGTTGATGAATCTTCACTGATTACTCTGGAGATTTGCTCCACTCTCACCAGGGAACCTGCCTTGTTTTGCCAGGCCAATGAGAGCCCAGAATATGGATTTTCAGCCCAGAGCTTACTAACTAATGTTGGGATGAAATAAGCCCATCAGTTTCTTTTAATAATAGTTTCTCCAACTGAAAAATGGAGAGAATTTTGACTCTAATATCTGAATTGAAAAAAATCATTTAAAAAACCTTAATTATAGCTATGACACCAAAAATACAGTCCACAAAAGAAAAAACAGATAAATTGGATTTCATCGAAATTAAAAACTTTTGTTCATCAAAGACACTATCAACAGAGTGAAAAGGAAATCCACAGAATGGGAGAAAATATTAGGAAACCATAGATCTGATGAGGGTTTAATATCCAGAGTATGTGTAGAACTGTGACAAGTCAACAAGAAAACAAAAACCCAATTCAGAAATGGGCAAAGAACTCAAACAGACATTTCTCCAAAGATGATATACAAATGGCCAATGAGCATACCAAAAGATGCTCAACGTCACTAATCACTAGGGAAATGCAAATCAGAACTGCAAGGAGATACCACTTAACACTCACTAGGATGACTATTATAAACATAATTTTTTAAGAGACAGAAAATAACATGTGTTGGCAAAGATGTGGAGAAATTAGAACCCTCGTGCATTAGTGGTAGGAATGCAAAATGGTGCAGCCACTGTGGAAAACAGTATGGTGGTTTCCCAAAAATTTAAACGGAGAATTATGATATGATCCAGCAATACTACTTCTGGATAGATGCCCAAAATGGTTGAAAGCAGAGACTAGACTAGATATTTGTACACTCATGTCCATAGCAGCATTATTCACAAGAGCCAAAATGTGGACGCAACCAAAGTGTCCATCAGTAGATGAATGGATAAAATTAATGTGGCACATACTAACAATGGAATATTATTCAGCCTTAAAAAGGAAGGAAATTCTGACACCTGCTACAACATGGATGAGCCTTGAGGATAAGCATTAAGCTAAGTGAAATAAGCCAGTCACAAAAGGACAAATACTGTATCATGCATCCTAGAGTAGTCGAATTGGTAGAGACAGAAAGGAGAATGGTGGTTTCCAGGAGGAGCTGGCTGAGAGAGAAAGGTGAATAGCTGTTTAGTGGGGACAGAATTTCAGTTTTGCAAAATGCTAACAGTTTTGGAGATGATGGTGGTGATGGTTGTGCGATCATGTGAATGAAATTAATGCCACTGAACTGCACGCTTAAAAAGGGTTAGGATGGTAAGTTTTGTTATGTGTATTTTAACAGACACACACACACAATCTAAGAGAAGAATTATGAGGTTGGAAAACCCCCCACGAAAACCTGTTAGCACCAGTGGGCTAGACACACAGACCTGGTGACAAGCAGGTTCGGCAGTTCTTTGGAAGACAGTTCTAAGACAGGCTTCTGCAAGATGGCCTGCTCCCTCCAGCCCCACCGCCTTCCCCACTGTGTGCTCACTGAGGCCCTGCAGGGGGGGCCCCAAGGTCCTGGCAGGGTGCCTCCTCTGAGCTCCACCCTGGAGGACACAGGGACTGATATTTGTAGCCACAGGCAGATCATCAGCTGACCAAGATTTCTCTGGTCAAGAGCTCTGGGAGGAGCTGAGGACTGAGCTGGGGCTCAGGGAGAGCAGGGAACGGCCAAGAAGAGGAAGACTGTGGTGGGAAAGGCCTGTGGCGCACTGGTGACAGTGCCTCCCGCTCCTCAGAATCGCGCTACCGGCCCTCCGGGTGGGATTCCAGCCTCCCTGTCTTCAGGGACTCATAGCCAGTGGGAAATCCACACGGTGGAAGAGTAAGGAGTCTAGAAAAGAGAGTGAAAATGCAGTCTGCTGTGGAGGCCCCGCTGCGGGGGAGGGGCCTGGGGGACACGAAACTAGCTTAGGTATTAGGGCGAAGAGGAAGAGGAAGCTGAGACCAGAAGTTTCAGTTAGGTAATGAAAGGGTGGTCCTGGGGAAAAGTACTTCAAGAAGGAATGGAATATTTGAAGGCTAAGAGGTGAGAGAGAAATAGAAACTTAAAAAAAAAAAAAGGTAGGGGGCACAGAGCGCAAAGGGGACTGTGGGCCCGAGTCCGAGAGAGAACTTTGGCTCCATCACAGGGATCCCTGCAAGCTGCATTTGAGAACCCAGTCTTCCTCCTTGTATGTCATTTGTCCCCTTTCTCAAATCTTCAAACCTGGTCCTCACTCCCTGAAGATCCGCTTTCATGACCTCTCCCTCCCTTCATTTTCCTCTTCCTATTTCTCCACTTGCCATAAGCCGGTGGACTTCATCCTTGGCCACCACGGCCTCTTCAGCCTCCTCGGGAGGCCACCTAAACTCTCCACCACGTCAACCACACTGCCTCCCATCTGGGGCTGGGGAGTGAAAAAGGTAACAGTGTCTCACCTTCCAAAACACACTGGGACCTCCTTCATATTCTGATTTAACCCCCATCAGTCCACGTTTGAGAGTAACTAACTTAGTGAGTCATTTGTGCTTGCAGAAGTGAGTTTTATAAACTCAGGTGTGTCAGGGGAGAAATAGGTAATTCACCTATATGCCAAAGACACTCAAATCTCTCTCCTGTTAGACGCTCCTCCTGGGCTCTCGGCCCTTATTTTCCATCTGCCTATCTACTGACAAGTTCTTCCTGGATATCCTACAAGCATCCCAACTCAGTTTCTCTAAAACCAAAGTCGCCCCCTCAAGGCACGTGCCTTTCTTTGGTCCCCGTGGCCCGCAGCCGGCTTGTGTAAGCTAGAACAGCAGTGCTGTCTTAAAGCTTCCTTCCCTCCTCCAGGCCCACTCTTCACATCCTCTCTGCTCTGCCCTGATCTGACTATGACTTTGTTTTTTCACAAAGTGCAGAAGGTGGCGCTTCACCTCAGCTCTCTGAGAATCAGAATTTTTCAGGGAGAAGCTCCGTTTTATATCACTCCCTAGCTGATTTCCTGACTGACTAAACTCAGAGAATCATCACAGAAGGCTATGAGCTTCTTAAGAGAAGGACATGTCTTCATCTTTGTAACAACAGAAGAACATTCAATGAGAGGCTGAAGAAATAGAAAAGGGTTTAGCAGTGGCAGGAACTGCAGAGCAGGGAAAGTGAAAGGCGTGGAACAGCCCTTAGGGTGGCCATCAGCAATTCTCCCTCACGCTCTGAATCAAGCTCTGAGTGTGGCAGGAGGAGAGCCTGCTTTTGAAGAAGGATTGGCTTCTGCAGCTTGGTCATCTGAGTTATGTCATATTCTCTTCTGCACGTGACAAAAGAATAAACCTTGTTTGCCAGAGGAGCCATCATGCTCTTAAGCAAGTCCACTAAAATGTTATGACCCCATAAAGAGACTAATGGTGTTATAATGGACACCAGGTGTTGTGTCTGCATCCCGTGAGATGTGATTATGCTTGAGATCTGGTTTTTTGTTTGTTTGGTTTTTTTTTTTTGGATAAAGAAATAGTTTTTAGGTCTTTAAAAGTTTATGGTTTTTGTCAGTGTTTCTATTTCTTTAGTTTTTAAATAAACTTAAGGTTTTTGAAAGGAGGCTTTGGTTGAGAGCTGTTTTCCCTGTTTACCAAAAAGCCAATATTTTCGTCCATTCAATGTTTCAAGTTTCAGAGAGTCAGTCTGAAATTGGCCGTCTAATTCACTGCAAGGACTTTGATGGTCAGGACTGGTATGGGAGCCTCTCTTTAACTTCAGTGAAAAGGCAAGGGCTGAGAAAAACAGAAATGGGCCCCAGCTTGGAAACCTGGGTGTGTCGCAGGGAAGGCCACAGTTCCTTCATCGTGACCTGGGAAGTATGAGATAGATGGCCAGTAGCTCTGTTCCAACCCAAAATGTCAGTGATTATTTCCTGTTAGGTTTCAGGGGAAGTACACCTGGACACTACAGACTATCAACCTGTATGAAAAAGGTTTTTAGAGTTTATTTTTGCCCTAAATGTGTGTCTTTTGCAGTGGCATAAATGAGAAGGACTTACTTTGGTTTTACTCTCTATTTGGTCTTGTCATTCATTTGTTCCGGTGGAGACGAAGTGTGTTGAGGCAAACCACGATCTGCTCATCAGTAGAATTTGACTCCAGGCCCTGTTCTGTATTAGGTGCCACTCTTGTTAGGCCCAGCCTCTGACATCTCGAGGCCTGAATATTCTTTCTGTAAAATGAGTGGTTTTAGACTCATTTCTGAGGTCTTTTTTGGCTCAAAAATATTAGCATGAAATATATGTAAACACTATTGGAGTACAGAATAAACACATAGAAAATGTGAAAGTTGGAAATTCGGACGTATTTTGGACGTCCGTCCAATTTCCAACTTTCACATTGTCTGAATTTCACATATGTCCAAATTTCCAACTTTCACAGTGATCAGCTACAAATATATATATACTTTTGT